CCCCCGCCCCCCCCCCCCCCCCGCCCGCTGGGATCTCGCCCTGCGCTTCGCTCCCCTTCCTCCCCCAGCGGGGTCAATCCCACGGGTGTTTTCCGGGTGTGCGGGATTTTCCTGCCTTTCGGTCACTTTTTATTGTCCCGTTCAGCTCCCGAAGAGGTTTTCACTGAATTTCACTGAATTTTAGAGTTGGAAGGGACCACAGAGATCATCTATTCCAACTCCCCTGCTGAAGCAGGATTGTTGGCGTTTATTCCCCGCCACATCCCAGATGAGGGAGGTTTTAATGGCTTTGTTTTTAGGGGAAGCACGGAGCGGGTGTGAGCTCCCGCGTTGGGAAAGCGGCTCCCGCTCGCACCCGGGGAAACTTTGTGCTGCAGATTGGGGTCAGGCTGTACCTCCCCCCCCCTCGCCTCTGTGTCCTGGTGCTGCTGGCACCCCCGAAGGCTCTGCTCAGGGATTGTCCCTTACTGGTGGCCTTTCCAGCCCAGGCTCACCCCGTGCCCCAGCTCATCCCCTCCCCAGCCTGCGGGATGCTCTCCCAAGCGCCTTCCCGGCTCCAGAGGCAGCAGCTTCCATCCCACCAGCCGTGGGGAGATGCCACCCCCCAGCACCCCGTCCCACCCACCCACCCCATGGGTGACGCTGGGTCCAGAGGGGTCTGGGTGTCCACGGGGTGTCCCCTCGGGTGACATAGGCCAATATTCATCCCCGAGGTGGCGTGGCTGGGGCAGGCGGAGGTGGTGCCAGGCTTTGGGAGGGGACAGTGGGGAGTGGGGATGATGCCTGACCCCAGCTCCTCTCCTCCTCTTCAGCTGTTCTGTGCCACCCCCGACATGGGGTCAGTGCCACAGGGATTGTTGCACCCCATCCAGGTAGTCCTGATGCCTGTCCTGGGCCCTCTGAACGATGGGTGGGACAGCTGTGCTCCCAGTGCCCCCAGCCACTGGGGCTGGGGTTGAACTGGTGTGTGCTGGGGCTGCCGGGAAGCCGTGCCCCATTGCTGTGGGGTCAGCTTGTGCCAACAGCGGGGTGACCCAGCGACTTGCTGAACTTCCAAATCACCAGCCAGCCCGTGCCTCAGTTTCCCTTAAACAAAGCAGCGGGGGTGGTGCCACCACCACCACCCCGGGGTGATGCCACCATCTCCAGCTGGTCCTCACTGCTGGGCCACGTCCCCACAGGCACCTTCCTGCAGCTCCTCAGGTGCCACCATCACCCTGGGGGCACCACCTCATTGTCCTTTTTGGTTTCCCCAGGATTTGCAACCCGGTCCCCAGGGGATGTCCCCCTGATCCCTTGTCCCCATGAGACACGGGGGACGCTCGTGGTGGCAGAGGATGCTCCGTGGCTGCAGGGTGCCCGGGTGCTGCTGGGCACGAGGTCCCTGTGCGGGGTCCCCCAGGCCCGGGGGGGAGAAGGCAGCACGTCCTGCCCGGGGCAGGCAGAGCCCTCCCTGCCCTCTCCACCCCACACAGCCCGGACCTCAGGGCAGTCGCTGCGCCTGAACCAGTTTGGGAAACTGGTTTTTGGGCCATGTCACGGCAGGGAGCCAGGGCAGCTGCTTCAGAGCATCCAGATATCCTCCACGCTCCCTCTCCACCGCTCAGCCGGGCGATGCTGCCAGCGCTGGGTGTCTCCCTTCCCAGGGGACAAGGAGCACCTGCCAGATTTTGCATCCATTTGTGGTTTTTTTCCTCCAGAAAAAAACCCAGGGATTCGCTTCCCAGACCCCCCCAACCCAGCCCCACCTCGAGAGGGGCTGCCAGGAGATATTTATGCTGATGAGGTGGGATGAAATTAAAACTCTTGAGTTTTCACTGGTCCTCCCCATCGTCTGAGAGACTGAATAACTGGCTGAAGGGGGTTGGTGGTGGCGAGATCCCGTTCTCTGGGGATGGGGTGTTGTTGTTGGGAGGATTTCTCTTTTCTTTATGCGAAGGGGAGAGCTGCTGAGGGGGTTGGATGGAAAATGAACCTGGAGGTGACGCTGCCCCACTCGCCACTGCCAGCACGGGCACAGGGGTGTAAGAGCCACAAGCAGTGACTCTTGTTAACTCTGAAGCCTAATGGTGTCGGATGCAGATCAGGACTGTGGTGCGGCTGCAAGGGGGTGTTCCCGACCTCGGAGGCAGCAATACAGGGTATCGGGATGTGGGCTGATGGAAGCTGAGGTCTGGCAGGATCCAGCCAGATGTGATACTGCCAGCTGTGTGACGTGTGCTGTCACACACCCCTTGGCCATCCCGCTCTGTGCCGTGTTCAAGTGCTGGCACAGGGCACCCGAGCAAGCTCCTTCTCTATCCCAAAGTGGTGACCCCATTGCCTCCCCCTGTGGTGTGGGGCTCACCAGGGGGTGGGATGCAGCTCCAGCCCCCGAGCCAGGTGGGGACAGGAGGTTCTCAGTGCTCCTGCCTCTGCCCGGCGGAGCTCAGCATCGCTCCCATCCAGGGTTTCGTTTCTTCCTTTGTTTCTCTCTTTCTCCTTTAATTGGCTGGGAAAGCAAAGCTCAGTTGGCACCTCCCGCCTGGCAGAGCCTGCTGGGCTGGTGGTGTGTGGTGCAGGTGGTGTGTGGTGTGTGGTGCTGTGCCACGCTGTACCGGCACAGGCATCCTTCCTCCCGCAGCCTCCTGGGGTTGGGGTGCAGGGAGAGGGACCACGTCTCCATCCCACCCTGCCTGCCCGAGCCGTGGGGTTTGCACAGGGCACCGAGAGCCTCCAGGTTGTGACCATCCCCCCCAACTGAGCCTGGAGAAGGAGCTAACGAGGTCAGCTTAACGAAGGATGGGCGAAGGGAGAGGATGGTCCCATCCCCTGCATCCCTCCACCACCCACCAGCCCTCTGTGACATCCCCTTCCCCAGCGGGACCCTGCTGCACCCTGGGGAGTGCCATTGCCCTGCTGTCCCCTGCTGTCCCCTGCCGTCCCCTGCCGTCCCCATCACCTCCCCTGCCCAAATTTGCCCATTTTTGGCCACCAACCCTCCTGCTCCGGCGAGCGCCAGCCGCCTCCAACATCTGCCGGCATCTTTTGTCCTCGCGTGGTTCCCATCGTGCCTGATCCCCGGCACAGGGATGGCACCAGGACAGAGGGGCCAGAGCTGCCCCTGGCCACCGTCCCCCCCGCCGGGGAAGGGGGAAAAGAGCCTGGGCTGAACTCTGGATGGGGGTTTTCAATTACACAATTAAATGCACAATTAGGTATAATTACCAGCGCTCAGAAGGCGCGACTGTTCATAATAGGCATGTAATCTACTGCAGTCACTGTTTATACTGCTCCGCTCCGCTCCCTAATGATTATGGAAAGCTTTCACATTTGCATGGTTGCCATGGAAATGGGGGGCTGGCGGCGGCATCGGGGCTGGAGCCCCTCGTTTCCCCGCACCCCGTCTGGGGGGGACAGGACCCGGGGGGCTTGGTGCTGCCCCTGCACCCTGGGGTGCTGCGGGGTGAGGGGAGGGACGGGGATGCTCCGGGGATGGGCAAGCACCGAGGACCCCGAGGTGGGAATGGCCTGGTTTAGAGGCTTGATAAAACCCCAGCCCACCCCGTCACCTCCCCCCGTCACCACCCCGAGAGTCACAGGAGGGACCCCACGTGTGGGTGGC